TTTTTGCTCAGACGCTTCACTATTACTAGTATCACCAAAATTCCTCCGATCGTGGCAAACTCTAAATAAAATCCATTGTTACTTCCTCCCACACCCTTTTCAGCATGGCTAGAGGCTATAGTAACCCTGCTCTGATACTAATTTGATGCGTTTTAGAAGTAATAAACAACAAACAAGAGAGAAGAAAAGCATAGGACATGAGAAAATGTATGTTTTTTTTGAATTTTTTTTATCAAAGGCAAATCAAGATACAATTGATCTACCATTCAAATTGGGAAAGTACGTAACAAATTTGATGCGTTTTGGAAGTAAAAAACAACAAAGTAAACAAGTAGAAATTGCAGGAATACAAAGATAGGGCTGATTTTTTATTATTTCTTCAACAAGAAAGAAAGATGCACATGATATACTATTTGAGAGGTAGATCGACTCTCCGACCAACCCTAGGCGTCGCTAGAAAACTCACAAAGAAAACTACCGCAGAAAACAAATTGCATAATGAAATAAAACAACCTAATTACCCTTAAATAAACCATCATATTTCCCTCATAAATCTGAATTCAAATATGCCCTCTTTCCCTAAATAAAACCTACATAATTCTAACCCAAATATGCATTCAAATTAGTCCTCTTTCCCTAATAAATTCTTCCTAATTTCCTCACAAATTTGAATTCAAATCAACCCTCTTTTTTTAAATAAACCTTTCATAATTCTTTCCCCAATCTAAATTCAAATAGGCCTCCTTTCCTTGAATAATTTTCTCCCAATTTTAATTAAAATTTTCCTAAACAACTGCCCATTGATTCCTCCTTATATAGTGAATATTAACTCCCCCCATAAACACACCATATTCTCAAGGTGGAAGGATGAAGTTGTCTAGTCCTAGATGATCATATCCAAGTCATTTGGATAGCCATCTCTGATGCTCCTCAGTCACAATCCTTTGTTTCAGTAGAAACTTGGGACTCGTCTAATCTGTCATGACTAGGAAGGAAATGTCTCCCCAACAAATAGGGTCATCATTTCTGAATAGCTAAGACAATAACCACAACTCTCACCACAGACTTGAGTCTCGCCCTCCCTGTGAGCACTTGATTGAAATAGGTAATTGGTCGCTAGTCCTGCATGAGCACTGCCCCCAGTCCATATCTGACTCATCACTCTCCATCACAAATGTCATGCTGAAATTGGGAAGTGCTAACACTGGTACACAGGTCATTACATTCAGCTGCTCGAAAGCCTGCATAGCTGCCTCACCCTACTTGAAACTATTCTTCAGTTGCTCAGTCAATGGTCATGCTATCGTGTCATACCCTCGCACAAACTTCCGGTAGTACTTGGTGAGGCCTAAGAACCCTCTCATCTCCCTTAAATTCTTAGGTAAAGGCCAATCCAGCATAGCCTCAATCTTGGACAGGTCTGCTGCTACCCCTACTTTGCTCACCACATGTCCCAAGCACTTCACCTGTAGTTGTGCAAATGAATATTTCTTTAGGTTGACATACAATTGGTGCTCCTTCAATGTCTCTAGTACCATCCTCAAATGACCTTTATGCTATGCCTTTACATCACTGTAGATCAGGATGGCATAAATAAAAAACCAAGAAAAACTTTCTGAGGTAGGGATGAAAAACTCGATTTATGAGGGATTGAAAAGTGGTTGGGGCGTTGGTAAGGCCGAAAGGCATTACCATAAACTCACCCTCATGAGTCTTGAAAGTTGTCTTATGCACATCCCTTGGCTTCATTATGATATGATGGTATCCTGATTTCAGGTTAATCTTTGACAATATAACTACCCCAAATAGTTCATCTAGTAGATCATCAATCATGGGATAGGAAACTTGTCCAGCATCGCTTCCTTGTTTAGGACCTATAATCAACACAAAACTTCCAACCATCATCCTTCTTTTTCATTAGTAATATTTGGCTGGAAAAGGGGCTCACACTGGGCCTGATAATCCCTGCCTTTAGCATCTCTCTGATGAGCCTTTCTATCTCATCCTTCTGAATTTGTGGGTACTGATACGGTCATACATTGATAGGAGAAGTTTCCTCCTTCAAGGTGATAGTATTGCTCGTGCTCCCGAAGTGGTTCTAATGAAACGTCTTAGAATCAAATTTGGATGAATTTTTTATTTTATCTTCTTAATTAATCAACCAGAGCTTCTATAAATCATCAAAGGTAATTCGCTAGGCTGCTAAAAAATGACAGGAAACTGCTGCAAAAGTTGATTTACACACTCTGGTAAATTTTCTGCCTATGAATCTCATATCTCCCCCAAACTTTGCAATTCCACCAAGCAGCCTAGCCCTGCTTCCTGTATTGCCTTGATTGTGGTTTTGAGTGAAACAGTAGTTCTGCATAGGTTGGCATCCCCTTGCAACACCATCTTTTTCCTCTGCACCTGGATCTCCATGGTCAAGGACTTTCAGTCCACTTTGGTCTCCCTGATTGTTTGTAACCATTTCATCCATAGGATTACATCAGTGCTCCCCAAATCTAAGAGAAGAAAATCCTCCACTATCTATATGCGTTGGAGTGCCAACACCAACCTCTTGCAAATCCCTTTACTCCTCTCTACCTTTCCCGTTCTCATCTTGACTCCAAAGCTCCATGTATCCACCAACTTTAATCCCAATTGGTCCACAACCCAGTTGGAGATTAAGTTATGAGTAGCCACGCTATTAACCAAAATCACTACTAGCTGCTCCACTACCTATCCCCTCACCTTCATGGTGTGATTTGGAGTAAATCCCACCACATAATTTATTGACACTTTCGCCACATTAAGGTGTAAGTGCTCTCTTCCTTCTTTTGCTTCCTTCACCAGGTCCTCACTGATTTTCTCTTCCTCTTCACAAACCAAAAGGACCTGGGGTGTGCGGTACTTGCACCGATGGCATACTTCTCATCACTTCCAAAGCACAGACCCTTTGCTTTCTTGTCCTTCACCTCTGCCTCTGTGAAGCGCTTGAAGTTGCCTGGTACGAACTCCGCCACTCTTTTCCCTTGGTGCCTTTCGCTGATACCATCTAGGTCATCGGTGCTAATGAAGTTGAGGTACTTTTGTAAGAGCCTCCCACAACTCCTCTCTTACTACTTATCTCCATGTGCCTCCGTTCCTTCGCTATCTGTGCTAGCTCCATCGTCTCCTTCAACCCCCTCGGCCTCAACAATCGAAGGTCAGCTCGTATGTTAGGTTTGAGGCCCTTCATGAAATTTTTCTCCAGAACCACCTCTAAAATTCCCCTCAGTCGTCCCTACAATAACTCAAATTTCTCCCTGTATTCCATGACAGTCCTCTCCTGAGTGAAGGCTAGGAATTGCTCGTGTATGTCTCCTTCCCAAATGGCTTTGAAACATTCCAATAAGCGATCCTTAAACTCCTCCTGCAAGTGGATCGAGTATCTAGCCTCCCTCCACTGGAACCACGCTAGGGCTTTCCCTTCAGATATAGCCCTATGACTGTAAGCTTCTCCTCTCTCAATCCGTTCACCGTGAAATACTTTTCCACCCGGTGTACCCACCCATGGGCATCCTCATCTTCAAACATCGACATCTTCAACTTACTCACCTTCGCCTCTCCAGCACAACTTCTTCTTCTGCCCATAGTTCCCCCTGTGTATCAAGGGTGAGAATCCTACCTTTCTTCCATTGTCTCTCATGACCCGATCCCCATGGCTCAGCCTTGTCCACCTCCCTCTCCGATTGTCCACTCCCCTAGCCCAAACAACCTCCCGTAGTGGTGGCTCTTAATGGAAGAAACTCTCCTCATCAAACTCCTTATGTCCGATCTCCTTTCCCTTCTATTCGGCCAAGGGAACCCCGATCTAATTGTATTGAGGGTAACAATCGGAACCACCGATGTGGCTTTGGATTGCATCTCCACGAGCTTCTTTATCATCTCTTTTATCACTCCAAATCGGTTCTCCATCTAATTCTCCATAGTTGAAAACCTTTCCTCCATCCCGGATTTGATTTGCTCCAATTCGCCTTCCAACGCATCCAACTTCTTCGCTACCATCTCTCTAAAAACCTCGCTTTGATGCCAATTTGTGGCATCTTGGAAGTAATAAACAACAAATAAGAGAGAAGAACAACGTATGACACAAGAGAATGACCGTGTTTTTGATTTCTTCTTCAAAAGCAAAGCAAGATACAATTGATCTACTATTCGAGAGGTAGATTAACTCTCTCACATACCCTAGCCTCCGCTACAAGACTCCTAAATAAAACTATAGCAAACACAAATTCCGCATGAGTGAAAATACAATATGATTAGCCTTAAATAGGCTTCCTAAATTCTCTCCTAAATAAGCTCTCCCACTTTCTTTAATTGATTCCATCCTCATTTTAAATTTTATTTGGCTCTTTTTCCTAAATCAATTCCCCTCAATTATAATTAAAACCTTCTTAAATCAATCTCCCTCTATTTCTCTTTATTACATATTGAATTAAATTCTTTCTGGGCCCCACAAGGAGGGCCGAACCCCCCCTTTGCTGGCTCCCGCCCAGCTCTAGCTGGATTCGGTTCTTTCAAACTGGGAAAGCATGTAACCGTATACTTCATAGAAATGCACTGATTTAATATTTTTATGAAGTTCTATAATTGGATAACTTTTTTATCTTGCCACAACTGTGTTCATATTTTATGGATAATTTTACAATTTTTTTTTGGCAATTAATACCTTTTGCAACGCCCAGGTTTTAAGGGCTTGCTTTATTGTACTTTGACATTGAAAAAGGTTGCTTTAACCAGTTGCACAGCCGAAAGTTGATGCTGTTTATCTTCATACATACTTGTACTTGATATATAAAATTGCTCTCTTGTATGCTGATGCATCTGAGCCTTAAATTTATTACTTACATTTCTAATTGATTTTTGCTTCCATAGTCCTACTCATGCAGAGTTTCTTATCCTTGTATCTTGAAAGAACTGGTTTTTGGTAATCGAAATGATCAACCTACTTGTTATCTCTTCTTTTTTGGTGATAGAGGTGGGCAGTGGAACTCTGGTGGTCAATGCCACAAGGAAATTGAGCCAATCTTCAATGATACTTTCATCACAAAGTACCCCAAAAAAATGATTGCTTTAGAGGGAGTACTCCGAAAAATGGAAACACCAGTGCTCTACCTTAATATCAGTAGACTAACTGACTATAGAAAGGATGGACACCCTTCTATATATAGAAAGAAGTACAATTCAGAAGAAGAGCTCAGAGAAGCTGAGAAATCTCAGGATTGCAGCCACTGGTGCTTGCCTGGGGTTCCTGATACCTGGAATGAGCTTCTCTACGCTTCTTTGTTGATGGAAGGAAAAGGACCATGGAGGAAATGACACTTTGCAACAGGTCTCTCTCTCTCTCTCTCTCTCTCTCTCTCTCTCTCTCCAGATCCATGTTGCAGTTCTTTCTGATATTGGATCATTAAAGATAAGATAAACAATTAAGCATCAATAAAATGATTAGTGTTAATTTCCCACAACGAACATGACCACTATTTCATTTACTTCATTCTCTTACACAAGCTTTAGCAGAGCCGACGCTGAAAGTTTCAGATGCAGCTTGACCATATGAAGCTGGTTATTAGTACAAGTAGCCAGACATTTCAAAAAAAAAAAAAAAAAACCCAAGTAATAAGTGAGGGCAGGGACAATTATTGCTTTAGTGTAGAACTACAGATGGATAGTTAAAGCAAGCCCCTACATGGAGCTTACCATCGCCGTTTTGTGACTTGCCGGTCTGCCATGCCTTGGGCTGGAAGCTTTTTGCCGAGTTAGACAAGTCTAGCTATCAGCTGCAGCATGAGCAGAACACAACAGAGGAGAGATTGGAGGGGTGGGAATTACGTCGCAGATTTCATCCCTCCAGATCACTCCATAGTACTGTCCACCCCTCAAGATCCATGCATGGATTCCTGCCAGAGATCCTCGACTAGTATCATTGACATGATTGAAATGAATCCTGTGGTAGATTGCAGCAAGTGTTATCTAAGGAGATGTTTCTCAAGTGCAAGCAATTGAGGAATTAGGATTCAGATTGTTGGGCTATTATAAATAGAAATAAAGTTGAGAAGTGGGGGATGTGTAGGTTTAAGTAACCCAGGACGCCCTCCAAGTGCCTTTGCTTTTGACTAATCCATCATCATTAATTACCTTACCCCTTACTTTATGAATTCTTATGCTCCATTCATTCTAAGTGCTACTTGAGTTGTGTTGGACCTAATCTGTTTCAAACTTGTTTACACAACTAATCTTTTAATATTAATTTTATCTATAGTATTTTTGAGTGATGGCACTTTGCTAATAGTGCAACCACCTCCATCTAACATCAATTATGGCCTTCAAATGACATTATTATCTAAGTAATTCTTTACTCCTAACCTCCTATAATTGCATCATCTTCTTCTGATTCTCACAACTTATGTGAACTACTTTCTCACCACTTTATTTTGATTCCACTAATGAGGCTTCAGCTTTTAGATATGCTTGCTAGCTCTACACTTGAGCTTTGTTAATATTTTCTTTCCTGTATTGTGGTCGCTGGATTAGTGCGGTCTTATGGGGATTTCATGTTCAGTGCCGCTTGGAAGAACCTCATTCCATTGGGATCATTTCTTTTTGCAAATGGACTTCCTTTTTCATCACTTTCTACTGTATCAGCTTTTAGATATGTTTCATGCTTATCTAAAACTTTTCATTCTATAGACATCTGTAATTCTTCACTGAAAATTTCTTTTCTTTTCAGCTACAATTGGTTCAGATCCAATAAATTGTCATCTCCTTGGGTGATTTGAGGTTTGATTAACAGTATATTCATTCATTTGATTACTACTAGTTAGAGAGTATTTTGTTTCCTTTACATGTAAAGACTTGTCCTAGAAATAATGAGTTTTAATTTTGTTTGTGAATATATATATATAATGACTACCTTCCGATGACCCAGTTAGGAAAATAGATGTATTGGATTTGATTTATGTTAAGAAAGGTAGAGGTAGGCCTAGAAAGATTTGGTTAGAAAATATTAGAAATGACTTTTCTTTATTAGATTTAAATGAGAATTTAACTTTTAACAGGGCACAATGGAGAAAGATAATTCATGTAGCTGACCCCATATAGTGGGATAAAGGCTTGATGTTATTGTTGTTGTTGTAACGCAAAATCATCCTATCCTCAATCTGTCTCTATTTTATTTTGTTTATGTTATTGGCCTTTCTTTCTCTTTATTTTATGTCACTTGACAACTATGTAAAAACTAACTAATATTTTATTTTTGCTACTTGCATGCTTCAACTTAAGCTATAATTAAAGTATGATTTGAGTTGGAATCAATGGCCATTTATTTGAGATTTTTAACTCCAAAATTTATTTTATTTTTATTCAAAATCTTGTCTTATGGAAGCAATAATTTCTACTCATGGTGACATTTCTTAAGAGGATTGTTCCTATGCAGATTTTGAGGAATTGTTGCACAACATTTAATGTTTTTTTTGTTGAATGTTTGAGTGCTATGATTTATTTCATTCATTTAACATAACAAATGTAACACTCAAAATTTATATTTTATTTTAATAGACCTTTGCAAGAGGTTGTGCCATGGCATATGCTTTTCGTTAATGATATTCTTCTTCTTGATAAGACTAGAGAGAGAGAGTTGAAAGTAAACTTAAATTATGAGGTCAACCTTAGAGTCTAAAAGTTTGTTGACTCCTATATTGAAATACACGTGAAAAGAGGCAAAATCAATGATTTTAGTGATGTGCGTGTCGGCGTGACGCTTCACTTGAAGGGTCAAACGACATCCGATTATCAAACGAACTGCATCGTTGCCATCAAAATATCGAATTCGCCTATGTGGGATCAGCTCACAGTCAAATCACATAAAACAGCGACTGACACCCGAAAATAAAGCATGATATTGCCCAAATGGCGTTCGATCGCAAAACGGATTTTGTCATTGCGTCCAGAACGCTTGAGTCATCTAAAAAATGATTATAATTTTACTTAATAACAATTGCTTGAGGAAATCAGAGTGATTTTTAAGGCAACGATGGATAAATTTTGAGAAATGGTGCGCAAATCAAGATAAAAAATTATGTTATTTAAATTATGATATTTAGTGATAATAATATTTTATTATGATCAATAATTAATGAGAAGTAAAAATCAGATCAAAACTAGAAATCGCGCTTATTGTAGCATGACCGTCCAACGATTCTCTACACGGTCGTGAATCCCTGAAATTCCGTGATTCGGATGTCCGACGTTGTTCCTCGGCACGTCGATGACCCTTCGCACGATCTACATACGTCAACGTTTTGGCCTTGTCGTCAAAACGAGAGAAGAAACGAGCTTAATGGATTCCACAACCTCCTATGTTCACTTCCTCACGCTCGAGCTGCCGAACTCCCAAATCCTCTGCCCGATCAATGCTTGCAGCCGATTAAGCCTCCTGCCATTCAATCCTTCTGGCCTCAATCGCAACCGTGCAGAGCGATCCTTCACCTCCCGATTTCGAGCCACACAGTCACTATGCTGCCCAACCTCCCTTCTACACGCGAAATCCGTCCGTCTCCTCCCCTCTGTAGTCGATTGAAACCCCTTAGTCTGTTTCGTCACTTCCGTCAGCGCAGCCACAGGTTTCAAGTAGGTACCCGTTAAAATGCAGGTAAGCCTAAGCCTTAGTGCAGTGGGAGGAAATTCGTTACAGTGCTTGCAACAATGTAGGTAAGTCTTGTGTGCGCTTTTCTTAACATGACGGGGCAAAACTTAAGTATCCGTGTATATGCCTTGGTCTCCGCGGGGAAATAACTATGCATTTTTAAATAGGTACCCCTGAAGTCCTATGCACGCCTTCCTTGTCGTGGTGGGATTTAACACTACGACCATGGTGTAATCCGACACTGACTGTGCATGTCTTTCTTAACGTAAAGGGAAGGCTAAGACTCCCATAATTTTCCCTAAATGAGGGAGACGTCTGGATGTTACTGAAATTCAGAGTGAAGATGCACAAAATTTAAATAATAGGGGGGGATTAATTCAATCTAGATGATAGAGAACAAAGCATGAATTAAACAATAGGGAACTAGATCCTAAAATTTAAAATGCACATTGATAATTAAAATGCAAATGCCAAATAATAATTCTGATCATTCAAATAAACACCGACAAACAACAGGGAACTCGTGGCAGGAGGTCTTCATACATGAATAAATTACAAATAAATGATAGAAGACTTATCATGCAATAGTAAAGGACTTGTTATGTAAGCAATAGCCGGCTTATTGATAGAAGACTTATCATGCATACAACAGCTCACATGAGAGACACAGGCGATGAATGCAGCTATACCCTGCAATCAACATCAATGTCTTGCATGTAACAAATACTAGTGTGTTCATATGGTCAACATCAACCAACCTTCCAACAAATGCTCCGGTATCCTGCAAGTAGAAATGATTGATTTGCAATATAAGCAAACACCTATGAGCAACTGTAGGAGCCTCGCAATATATGCTATATGATACCCATCAACAAATACAGAAAAATTGTAGTAAATGTCAACACCAACTAGCAACAGTGATAATAGATATGATGCAGCGATGTCGAGTCTCCTGTGAACATAAGTACGCATGCAACCTGATATTTGCAAGCATATGTTGAAGATTGCAACAAATATAATAGTACTATAGCAAATGTAAGTACCTACGAGCCACTATAGAAAACCATCGCAATTAATAACCATGATGAGAAAAAGCGCACCAAGTGTACATTAAACCTAAAGGTTTTGTTGACTAAGTACAACTAAGTCTTCTAATTGACAACTCCAGAGACCCTGATAGTGACAGTTGGGATAAAGGAAACTTGGTGTAAGGAGAAAGCCCACCGACATATTATCAGAGGAAGGTCCTAACTATGGCATAAATTATACAAAATTGAATGATTCTGTAGAGTCAAAGAATGAGCAGTTGAAGAAAATGTTCAATTCCATCATCTTATTAGAAATATTGAGGCTTCTGGAGAAATGCTACACTATTTATATATTATCATGCTGATGCACAATGCATATTTGCAAATGACAATGTTCCTTGCAAAACATCCATCAGCAACAATGATAGTAGATATGCTACAGGGTTGCTAGATCCTTTGTGAACATTGGTACGTAGGCATCGTACTATTCGCTAGTAAGGTCTGAATATCACATCAAATGTAGGAAAACTACATCATCGTACTATTCGCTAGCAAGACCTTCGCAGTTAACAACCAAGTCAAGAAGAAGCTCATTCATCTTATATTGGAGTTGATGGTTTTGTTGACCAAGTACAACTAAATCCTCTAATTGATAACCTTAGAAGTTCTAATAGAGGCAATTGGGATAAAAAGGCAATTTGGTATAAAGTGGAGGTCCCTTGATGTGCTACCAGCAGGAGCCCTAACTATGATACTAAGCATATGAAGTTGAATGATTATATAGAATCAAAGAATGAGTAGTTGAAGAAAAAAATATCTCATTCTATCATTTCTTCAAAAATACCGAGGTTTCAGGAGAAATGCCATATTATTTGAATAAAGAACAAATATCCGGAGATTAAACTTTATAACCTAATGTCCTACACGTGCACAACAAAATGTTGTTGTTGTAGATTGAAGAGAGTTGCTCATGGTTTCCACGTCAAGAACTATAAGAGAAACCTTCACATCCCATATGCATATCTGATACTAGAATGTCGATGGGATACTGAAAACTATTATGTGTTTTTTCTTGCCCATGCTTCGAGGAGAATACCTTTTGGCGAATTGAAGAGGAGGAAAGCCAATAGCGTATCAGCGCAACCTTTGGTCTCATCAGATTATACCTTATCTATCATAAAATGACCTTATGCAACTTGGATGTTCTCGTCCGATCTAAGCAAAGGTTAGAGGATTCGTGGATATGATATATGGAAGAATGAGAAGATAAAGCTTGCATTAGAGCAATCAAATATCTCACGGCTATTCTGGGTGAAATGCTCACCTGTAAGCAAAAGTAGAGAATCAATAGTGAAAACCGTTGGCCATTGAAGTGTAATGCCATGCCATCGAATTTGCAACACTCATACAAGAAGACATAAGGCATCTACAAGCTTCTAGATAGAACCTTGTGCACATTCAAAAGATAATTGCTCACACACATTGATTAGTGCCAAATACTTTAATATACCCTCGTACATGCATGTTACGTAAATGTATTGTGCGTTATGCTAATGCGCCATGCCATCAGATCCACAATTTTTGTACAAGCAGACAAAAGACGTTAACAAAACCCAAAATAAAATCTCGCGCATTTGGCAACAAGTCACTTATATAGTCGGTTACATTTAAAAATGCAAAACACTCCCTTGCATGCATTAAAATACACATTGATGTGCATTCCATAGTATGCATGCATTGGCAATGTGCAGAGGGTTTCGTTCTAATATATTAGTTGACATTACAATCATAATTCAAAATGACCTCCTACGTGCATTTGTAGGATGTGGAGGTTTTCATTCAAGTATATCATCTGATATTACAATTCTATGTTAAAATGATTTCCTGCATGTATCGTTGGGATGCAGAGAGTTGCATTCAAGCATGCTATTTGATAGTGCAATTATAATTTAAAATGATCTCTTGCATGCATTGGTAGGATGTAGAGGGTTTCATTCAATCATGTCATTCAACATTGCAATTACACTTCAAAATGTCCTCCTATATGCATTTGCAATATCCTGAAGGATTCATTCCATTAATATCATGCATACAATCATCTAAATGCATCGTGCAAAATGCATTCATTAGTATATACTTATATAGGCCCAGATGAGCATGTCGTAGGTACACACGTGACTCTTGAAGATGTTGCACGAGTTAAGAAATGAATTTAGATTCG